AACATGTATCCTGTTGAACTTACTAGAGTCGTTTTTGAACATTAATCATGTTTAACTTACTAGTGTCATGATTCAACATTAATCATGTTTAAGTCACGAGTATGTTGACTGAACAATAATCAAGTTTAACTCACGAGTATTTTGACTGAACAATAATCATGTTTAACTCACGAGTATGGTGACTGAGCAATAATCATGTTTAACTCACCAATGTCGTGATTAACTATTTAAATATTGACTATGGTGTTGTCAGAACACGCTGCCTACTTATGTCTAAAACCAGCCGGTTTTGTGTCATCAATTTCTAACGTGTTCTAAAACATAAGGTGTGTTTGCTGCATTTGACGTTAACATGGATGATTAGCTCAAGGCTTTTTGATAGGGGCATGAGATAAGGGAACGTGTACTTTTACTTCAGGCGGTTCCTTTTTATTGTTTTATCACAAATGTTCGTAGTTTAAAGTATAGACGTTAACAGAACGTTGACTATTTATATCTTCTTTACGAAACGACGACCGGGTTAAAGTAAAGGTCCCTTTGCCACGTCTTTAGGCGTATAGGGCATATAGGGCAAGACCTATATTTTTATAGACCAATCGGCACAAGATGGGTGATGTGGTCAGCATCACGCTGGCTGCCTTTACTTCCAGGGACGGCACCCGGTACCCACTAAAGGCTAGGTCGACTTAGGAGTCAAGGTCATTTTTGAAAACAGGAAGCAAACCCACAACATTCCGATACTATGGTCGTGTAGCTAAAATAATTTGGCAAAGCCGAATCCTGTCGCTGCCAGTGTGCTACCTGGACCCTCACTGGAAGCAAAGAATAATAACACCGCATCCTACCAGGCATGTCGTAAGAGTCAACTAAGTGAAGGGCTGGGCTTAGTGTTGGCTACCTCATCGTGTGAAAACAATAGCCACAAAAACTAACCTACTACGGAAAAGTGAAAAACCAAGCTGAGGGGAGGCTCTTCTAAGAGAAGGAAGATTACACGTTGCGAAGGAAGCTGAAAAGAGTCCGGACAGTCGACGCACCTCCTTTCACCTGGAAAAATCTCCAGAATAAATACCTTGAATGTTAGAACTTTGATATACAGATACAACGGTAGCAGAGCTAGAGGTCGACCACGCAGAAGATGAAGCACAGCAGAAATTTTTAGAACCAAGCATAATACTCCCAGAAATAATAACAGGTTAAAACTAGGTACCCTTCAACAAAGCTCCAAGCCCTGACGATATACCTGCAGAATTACTCAAAGCAACAGAAGAGGTAGGCGTAAAATGGATCCACAGACTGTTCAACCATGTCTAAACAAGACAAGAGACACAGGAGGACTTGAGAAAAGCAATAACAGTACCCAACTGGAAGAAGAAAGGCAGCAAAAGGGACTGAGAAGTATAGAGAAGTTACGTTTTTGAGCCACACCGAGACAATTTTTTGCAAGATCCTTGAAAACGGGCCACATCATATCATCGAACCACAATTTATTGAAGGGGATATGGGATTTCAGAAGAACAGAAGTTGTACTGAGGCAATATTTACACTTAGACAATTTGTGGCGAGGGCGTTAGAATTCGATAAAGAATTACACGTCGCTTTCGTAGACCAAGAGAAAGCTTCGGATCGAGATAAGGGTTATAAATTATGGAAGCTACTACTGTCAACGAACATCTTATTAAATTCAAGTTTATAGGTAAACAGTCAATGCGTAGTTAGAACAAATACAGGGATGTCAGAAAAGGTCTGGAGTGATACAGGGTGTGCGTTCTATCACCTCTACTGTTCATCACGCACTTCGACAAAATGTGCACATCAGCTAGCATCAGCGAGGGGGCAACATCGGATAATTACTAAATGAATTGCTTTTCGCTGGCGACCATGCAATCATAGCACTAACAGCAGTACAACTACAAGAACATAATAGTAGACTCCACTCAGAATGTGACTGCTATGATATGAAGATCAACGTAGATAAAACAGAAGTTATGACATTTTCCAGAAAAGGAAGAAACACCAGTTTCAAAATTAATGTACACCAGTTAAAGCACACGAAGGGTTTTACATACTTGGGGAGCACTTATTTCAGAAGACTGAAGAATTAACAAAGAAATCCAGCAGTCGTTAATTTCTTTTTACCCCGGACTAAAATAATATCCTCATCTGCTCTGTCGTGGTGACAGCACTAGCCATGTTGCCTTAATATAAAAAAAAAACAAAAAACAAGTAAATGGGTAAACCATTTGATAATTAAATTTGACCATTTCGCATACTTATGATTGCATTGTTAAACTTTCCGATTGCATGGTTACGCTGAAATTTTATAGATTTTCATTTATTTTCATTTAGATTTAGTTATTTCATCAGTGTTGGAATTTTAAGCTGTGCTGTTTACAATGGCGTTCATTTCCTAATTATGGTGTTTTTTTCCTGTGTTCGTTTGCTTTTCAAGTGTTTTTTTTTTTCTCCCAACTACTTCAATGAGGGAAAGAGTTGTCGGTGAATTTGGGGGGAGGGGGGGGGGGGCTACCTATTAACTGAGAGAGCTTTAAGTCACAGTAACTGCTTTACCCACTTAAAGTAGCAGCAGCAGTAATAATTGTTACACCAGGGCTGTTACACCATAGTGCTCTCATGTGAAGACCGCCGGTAAGGTTATGGCGTTCTTCTGTCGGCAAGTGAAATTATACATCCTAACCTGACCAGTCTGTGGCGACAGCACTAGCCATGCGGAACCAAATCTTCTGGCTCACGACTCTCTGTCTACTCCGATGGTAACACAGATAGCAGTGACATTATTTTAGTAGTTGTACTGGTACTTGAAGGATGATGTGGTAAATATTACACTAGCCCTATTCACTACCTTTTACAATTCCTGCTCCCTATTTTAGTCCAGATGGACAGGGATGTCAATGTCAGTTACATCAACAACAAAATATCGCCAGTTAGTGATTTTCAAATCCTTCGAAGAGGGAGAGAGCAGTAGTCGGTGGAAGAGGGGAGGGGGTAATGACTTAAATTTAAGAGAAATTAAAGAGCTTTACACTTGATTTTCAAGTTCTCATTACCTAATATGTTTATATTTTACTAACGCTACCTCCGCTTTTCTATTTTTTTACGACTTTGTTATTCACAAGTACAGTTGTAGCTTTACCTCCGTCCCCTATAAAAATACAAACAGCTTTAGCATATGATAACCAAATAACCATTTTTGTTACTGTGCTAATAACAACATTTAAACGACCACTAATATAAAGACACAATTATAAGGTGCGTGTTCTAAGGTTTGAAAACCAGACTATCGCTATATCTGTGCAGAGAATGATTGCGACATTAACTGTATTAGACACGTGCGATTTCCATTGTCTTTCTTTTCCAAAAAAACTTTGATGAGGGAGATAGTAGTAGGTGGATTTAGTTGTGGTGGTGGGCGGGGATCAAAGACTATCTCTATATCTGAGCAGACAATGATTGTATCAGACACGTGCGTTTTCTGTTTTCTTTCATTTCCATTTAGCCAAACTATGCCACAGCAACGCGTGGCCGGGTACAGCTAGTTATCTATAAATATGACTCTGTGTTCAGAGGCAGGCGAAAGTAATGGAGGTTTCATAGCAAAAGCGAATGAACGTCGCTTAGTGCAGCAAAGCCTGGGATATGCTATCGCAACGTCTAGTTTAAGAATGGAGGTGGAGATAGTCACTGCTGCCTTCCGCTGACTTGAGAATCACATACCGTGATTGTAATTAACACACAGAGAATGTCGAGATAGATGGAGACATACATTTCATGTGGAGAGTGGCAAGCATCGCATCAGAGGTCCTGGGTAGTTAGCATCTTTTGGATATTTTTCTCTAGGTTATGGAGGTGTGTTGGCGCATGAGCAGGCAAATAGACTTGCAGGTTCTACATGGCTTGTTGGTGAATTGATGTATGACAAGTTCGACGTTGTCGCCTTTTGGAAGCAAGTGAACAATGCGGAGGCACAGATAGATCAATACGGTTTGAGAAGAATGGCGCTGCGAGGAGCTATAAGGGGATCTGGCTGACGGTCAACACTCAGGGAAAGGGCGAGACGGATATGCAAACAGCTTCTGATGCCATCGGAACTAGAACTCTTCGCTCTCTTCTGAAGATGGGGACGCAGCGCTTATGGGAGTGTCCCAGTGTTATGACGTCGATTGGGTCACTAATCGGTTGATAATTCTCAGGCACAGATCCTTGAAATTCTGTTCATCCAAGATGTCATAAAGGGGATCTCGACGGTAACGAAATAGTCTGAAGTGTGGGGGGGGGGGGGGGGATAGCTCTCTAAGTGCCTTGAAAACAGTAGATACTTATAGTGTTCTGGCATTCGCGGGCGTAGACGGGAATAAAAGAGCTGATAGGTTGGCTCGATCAGCTATCACTGCTGACGGTCAAACTATGGATCATGCCGATGTTATTATTGCCCTCGAGAATGGGAAGGGTAGAGGCATTTAGAGGGGCATTGAATCCACATCACTCGCCAGAATGATAAGACTTGGGAGTTCAGATCGGCATAGCAAAAAACGATACGCATACCAGGCACACTAGAGGAATGGTCAGTCAACACAGAACTGGTACTATTAGCCCCCGGACGTTGGGGTTCATACTGAGGGGAGGATCTAAGCGACTGTGGACATGTCTGGAGTGCAATGATGATAACCGAGCTAGCTAACTAGCTATCTAACTAACTAACTAGCTAACTAACTAACTAACTAACTAACTAACTAACTAACTAACTAACTAACTAACTAACTGGCATATTGCGATCTTCCCACAAACGATATTTGCCGACGTGGATTATGAGGCAAGAGCGGATCTTTTCCACGGTCCAAATGTGCTACTACTGCATAAAGGTCTTTTTATTAAATGGCCATCAGTGGGATCTAATCTTGAATTGTTGTGGATTGTGAAGCCCCATTAATCTACAGACCACAAAGCAATACATTTACATACATTCTATCGACTATACAAACCTTGTAGGGGCAGTCAAATCCGGACACTTGAAGAAAAAGCAGACAGTAGAAAATACTGGGTATCGTCCAGCAGACATTTCTCATCGCGAAAGTGACTAGTCTAAATGATCAGAATGGTATACAGTTCTAATATCATTTATATTCTCTATATTGCTATACACTATAGTGTGAATTGTTGTGCTCATTAAAAAAAAATCAATTGCCAGTTGGAAATCGAAAAGATTAGCCGAACGGAGTTGCCCAGGCACAATTTAGAGTAAAATTTTGATTTAAAAATCTACCAAAAGCATTTCAGGATCCTCGCCGGTGCTACAGAGCCTGTGCACTGTGCTAAGCTTCTTTGAACTTAGACTTGAGTTAGAAGAAGAACGGTGCACTTATGGGTTTACTACCCGTGTGCCATGATGTTGATGAGTTGTTTAAAACCTGTTTTTCGCATTAAAAGGTAAATCTGGTATACAGAAATTAATGTCACATCAAAGGATAAAAAATAAAAGAAACGCCAATGTGATCTGATACTAGTTTATCTTTTTAACGATTATCATGTATAAACTACCAGTGAAGTGATTAATCAGTAATCCAATTTAACTCACCAGTGCCGTGATTAAACAGTAATCATGTTTAACTTAAAAGCGTCGTGATTAAATATTATTCATGTTTAACTTACCAGTAAGTAAAGTGACTGAACGTTTCAACGCATTCCGGCTTACTGGGCATAAAGGGCTAGACCTCTATTTGATTGAACAATCGGCACTTGGTCGCATCATGCCAGATACTATACTATATCGTGGTTAAACAGTAATCATGTTCAACTTGCTTATATCGTGGTTAAACAGTAATCATGTTCAACTTGCTTATATCGTGATTAAACAGTAATAATGTTCAACTTGTTTATATCGTGATTAAACAGTAATCATGTTCAACTTGCTTATATCGTGGTTAAACAGTAATCATGTTCAACTTACTTATATCGTGATTAAACAGTAATCATGTTTAACTTACTAGTGTTGTGATCAAACATTAATCATGTTCAAGTTACTAAAATCGTGATTAGACAGTAATCATGTTACACTTACTAGTATCCTGATTAAACAGTAATCATTTTCAACTTACTTATATCGTGATTAAACAGTAATCATGTTCAATTTACTTGTATCGTGATTAAACGGTAATCATGTTTAACTTGCATGTGTTGTGATTGAACACTCATCTTGTTTAACTTACCAGTGTCGTGATTGAACATTAATAATGTTTACCTTACTAGTGACGTGATTGAACATTAATCATGTTTAACTTACATTGTCGTGAATGAACATTAACCATGTTGAACTTACCAGTGTCGTGATTGAACATTAATCATGTTTAACTTACCAGTGTCGTGATTGAACATTAATCCTGTTTAAATTACCAGTGTCGTGATTGAATATCAATCATGTTTAACTTACCAGTGTCGTGATTAAATATCAATCATGTTTAACCTACCAGTGTTGTGATTGAACATTATTCGTGTTTATCTTATCAGTGTCGTGACTGAACATTATTCATGTTTAACTTACCAGTGTCGTGATTGAACATTAATCATGTTTAGCTTACCAGTGTCGTGATTGAACATTAATCATGTTTAACTTACTTATATCGTGATTGAACATTAATCATGTTTAACTTACTAGTGTCGTGATTGAACACTAATAATGTTTAACTTACCAGTGTCGTGATTGATAAGTATTCATTTTTAACTTACCAGTGTCGTAATTGAACATTAATCATGTTTCAATTACCAGTTTCGTTTTTGAACATTAATCATGTTTAACTTACCAGTGTCGTGATTAAACATTAATCATGTTTAACATACTAGTGTCGTGTTTGAACATTAATCATGTTTAACTTACTAGTGTCATGACTGAACATTAATCATGTTTAATTTACTAGTGTCGTAATTGAACATTAATCATGTTTAACTTACCAGTGTCGTGATTTAACATGTATCCTGTTTAACTTACTAGAGTCGTTTTTGAACATTAATCATGTTTAACTTACTAGTGTCATGATTCAACATTAATCATGTTTAAGTCACGAGTATGTTGACTGAACAATAATCAAGTTTAACTCACGAGTATTTTGACTGAACAATAATCATGTTTAACTCACGAGTATGGTGACTGAGCAATAATCATGTTTAACTCACCAATGTCGTGATCAACTATTTAAATATTGACTATGGTGTTGTCAGAACACGCTGCCTACTTATGTCTAAAACCAGCCGGTTTTGTGTCATCAATTTCTAACGTGTTCTAAAACATAAGGTGTGTTTGCTGCATTTGACGTTAACATGGATGATTAGCTCAAGGCTTTTTGATAGGGGCATGAGATAAGGGAACGTGTACTTTTACTTCAGGCGGTTCCTTTTTATTGTTTTATCACAAATGTTCGTAGTTTAAAGTATAGACGTTAACAGAACGTTGACTATTTATATCTTCTTTACGAAACGACGACCGGGTTAAAGTAAAGGTCCCTTTGCCAGGTCTTTAGGCGTATAGGGCATATAGGGCAAGACCTATATTTTTATAGACCAATCGGCACAAGATGGGTGATGTGGTCAGCATCACGCTGGCTGCCTTTACTTCCAGGGACGGCACCCGGTACCCACTAAAGGCTAGGTCGACTTAGGAGTCAAGGTCATTTTTGAAAACAGGAAGCAAACCCACAACATTCCGATACTATGGTCGTGTAGCTAAAATAATTTGGCAAAGCCGAATCCTGTCGCTGCCAGTGTGCTACCTGGACCCTCACTGGAAGCAAAGAATAATAACACCGCATCCTACCAGGCATGTCGTAAGAGTCAACTAAGTGAAGGGCTGGGCTTAGTGTTGGCTACCTCATCGTGTGAAAACAATAGCCACAAAAACTAACCTACTACGGAAAAGTGAAAAACCAAGCTGAGGGGAGGCTCTTCTAAGAGAAGGAAGATTACACGTTGCGAAGGAAGCTGAAAAGAGTCCGGACAGTCGACGCACCTCCTTTCACCTGGAAAAATCTCCAGAATAAATACCTTGAATGTTAGAACTTTGATATACAGATACAACGGTAGCAGAGCTAGAGGTCGACCACGCAGAAGATGAAGCACAGCAGAAATTTTTAGAACCAAGCATAATACTCCCAGAAATAATAACAGGTTAAAACTAGGTACCCTTCAACAAAGCTCCAAGCCCTGACGATATACCTGCAGAATTACTCAAAGCAACAGAAGAGGTAGGCGTAAAATGGATCCACAGACTGTTCAACCATGTCTAAACAAGACAAGAGACACAGGAGGACTTGAGAAAAGCAATAACAGTACCCAACTGGAAGAAGAAAGGCAGCAAAAGGGACTGAGAAGTATAGAGAAGTTACGTTTTTGAGCCACACCGAGACAATTTTTTGCAAGATCCTTGAAAACGGGCCACATCATATCATCGAACCACAATTTATTGAAGGGGATATGGGATTTCAGAAGAACAGAAGTTGTACTGAGGCAATATTTACACTTAGACAATTTGTGGCGAGGGCGTTAGAATTCGATAAAGAATTACACGTCGCTTTCGTAGACCAAGAGAAAGCTTCGGATCGAGATAAGGGTTATAAATTATGGAAGCTACTACTGTCAACGAACATCTTATTAAATTCAAGTTTACAGGTAAACAGTCAATGCGTAGTTAGAACAAATACAGGGATGTCAGAAAAGGTCTGGAGTGATACAGGGTGTGCGTTCTATCACCTCTACTGTTCATCACGCACTTCGACAAAATGTGCACATCAGCTAGCATCAGCGAGGGGGCAACATCGGATAATTACTAAATGAATTGCTTTTCGCTGGCGACCATGCAATCATAGCACTAACAGCAGTACAACTACAAGAACATAATAGTAGACTCCACTCAGAATGTGACTGCTATGATATGAAGATCAACGTAGATAAAACAGAAGTTATGACATTTTCCAGAAAAGGAAGAAACACCAGTTTCAAAATAATGTACACCAGTTAAAGCACACGAAGGGTTTTACATACTTGGGGAGCACTTATTTCAGAAGACTGAAGAATTAACAAAGAAATCCAGCAGTCGTTAATTTCTTTTTACCCCGGACTAAAATAATATCCTCATCTGCTCTGTCGTGGTGACAGCACTAGCCATGTTGCCTTAATATTAAAAAAAACAAAAAACAAGTAAATGGGTAAACCATTTGATAATTAAATTTGACCATTTCGCATACTTATGATTGCATTGTTAAACTTTCCGATTGCATGGTTACGCTGAAATTTTATAGATTTTCATTTATTTTCATTTAGATTTAGTTATTTCATCAGTGTTGGAATTTTAAGCTGTGCTGTTTACAATGGCGTTCATTTCCTAATTATGGTGTTTTTTTCCTGTGTTCGTTTGCTTTTCAAGTGTTTTTTTTTTTTTTTTCTCCCAACTACTTCAATGAGGGAAAGAGTTGTCGGTGAATTTGGGGGGAGGGGGGGGGGGGGGGCTACCTATTAACTGAGAGAGCTTTAAGTCACAGTAACTGCTTTACCCACTTAAAGTAGCAGCAGCAGTAATAGTTGTTACACCAGGGCTGTTACACCATAGTGCTCTCATGTGAAGACCGCCGGTAAGGTTATGGCGTTCTTCTGTCGGCAAGTGAAATTATACATCCTAACCTGACCAGTCTGTGGCGACAGCACTAGCCATGCGGAACCAAATCTTCTGGCTCACGACTCTCTGTCTACTCCGATGGTAACACAGATAGCAGTGACATTATTTTAGTAGTTGTACTGGTACTTGAAGGATGATGTGGTAAATATTACACTAGCCCTATTCACTACCTTTTACAATTCCTGCTCCCTATTTTAGTCCAGATGGACAGGGATGTCAATGTCAGTTACATCAACAACAAAATATCGCCAGTTAGTGATTTTCAAATCCTTCGAAGAGGGAGAGAGCAGTAGTCGGTGAAAGAGGGGAGGGGGTAATGACTTAAATTTAAGAGAAATTAAAGAGCTTTACACTTGATTTTCAAGTTCTCATTACCTAATATGTTTATATTTTACTAACGCTACCTCCGCTTTTCTATTTTTTTACGACTTTGTTATTCACAAGTACAGTTGTAGCTTTACTTCCGTCCCCTATAAAAATACAAACAGCTTTAGCATATGATAACCAAATAACCATTTTTGTTACTGTGCTAATAACAACATTTAAACGACCACTAATATAAAGACACAATTATAAGGTGCGTGTTCTAAGGTTGGAAAACCAGACTATCGCTATATCTGTGCAGAGAATGATTGCGACATTAACTGTATTAGACACGTGCGATTTCCATTGTCTTTCTTTTCCAAAAAACTTTGATGAGGGAGATAGTAGTAGGTGGATTTAGTTGTGGTGGTGGGCGGGGATCAAAGACTATCTCTATATCTGAGCAGACAATGATTGTATCAGACACGTGCGTTTTCTGTTTTCTTTCATTTCCATTTAGCCAAACTATGCCACAGCAACGCGTGGCCGGGTACAGCTAGTTATCTATAAATATGACTCTGTGTTCAGAGGCAGGCGAAAGTAATGGAGGTTTCATAGCAAAAGCGAATGAACGTCGCTTAGTGCAGCAAAGCCTGGGATATGCTATCGCAACGTCTAGTTTAAGAATGGAGGTGGAGATAGTCACTGCTGCCTTCCGCTGACTTGAGAATCACATACCGTGATTGTAATTAACACACAGAGAATGTCGAGATAGATGGAGACATACATTTCATGTGGAGAGTGGCAAGCATCGCATCAGAGGTCCTGGGTAGTTAGCATCTTTTGGATATTTTCTCTAGGTTATGGAGGTGTGTTGGCGCATGAGCAGGCAAATAGACTTGCAGGTTCTACATGGCTTGTTGGTGAATTGATGTATGACAAGTTCGACGTTGTCGCCTTTTGGAAGCAAGTGAACAATGCGGAGGCACAGATAGATCAATACGGTTTGAGAAGAATGGCGCTGCGAGGAGCTATAAGGGGATCTGGCTGACGGTCAACACTCAGGGAAAGGGCGAGACGGATATGCAAACAGCTTCTGATGCCATCGGAACTGGAACTCTTCGCTCTCTTCTGAAGATGGGGACGCAGCGCTTATGGGAGTGTCCCAGTGTTATGACGTCGATTCTTGATTCAACGTTCAACAATCAGCTTGTATACACAGTTAAGAACACTGGTGAAATTGCACAGCCGTGGGGTAGTCCTGGGGCGATATTATATGGTTCTGAGGTCCATCTAACCAGGTGAAGGGCAACCACACGTGAATGCAAGACAGCTGCTATCCAGTTCACCAGCCAGTGACACATTCCCTTCTGCATGGGCGCAGATATCATAATATCATATCTGACTCTTTTGTAAGCATCCTCAAGATCAAGTGCTGCCACAACCGTCTCCTATCTAATAACTTAACACACATAACACATGCACGCTCACATACACACTCATATATATATATATATATATATATATATATATATATATATATATATATATATATATATGTGTGTGTGTGTGTGTGTGTGTGTGTGTTTGTGTATGTGTATATATACACACACGCACACACACATGTAAACACTAATTAAGTCATAGTTATCAGCTGCAGTGTTGATGGCATAATATCATTAAGGAAGTGATGATGGTTTTAAAGAAGGTGACTGTGGTGTGAATATTCAAACTAATGTGAAACTGACATCATATTGATGACATATTGTGATTGTAATGTTTAATATACACAGTCGTCTACATAAAATTGCGCAATAATAACTATTTTTTAAATTAAAAAAATACATCCCCAAAGACACAACGTGGAAGAAACAAGCCTTAGTCATTTGGACAATCTGGACCAAAAGTTGTAAAAAATGCATAAATGGTTATCTGTCCACAGTCGCCACTGACCACGTCCGGACCCCGAGCTTGGACCCAGCTGGTCAAACTCTTCTCCAGGCACGTGCAAACTAAACTGGGCGTGTTTGTAAAGTCCAGACTATACAAACTGGTCAGGGATGACAAGGCCAGAGGCATGCGTGATAGCAGTGTCCCTTGCAAACTCAAATCGGACAAAATCGGAAGATTGTTAAAAGCAGAAACTGAGATTTTTCTAAGAGGATTATTATTAAGGTACAAATATTCAATTGCAGAGTTTTTTGGAAAGCTGTATTCAGTCAGTTCCGTGATATGATTAAATCCAAGCTCCACAGATGTGACTACCGAGGAGAAGTCAGTGCTTTGAATGACAGTAATGCGATTTGAGGGCATGGTAAAATCGGTTATAGACTGTAGACCGGACATAATCATCGGAATACGGGGCAGAAAGTTGTTCTGGAGTTCAAGAGAGTAGAGTTTTGGGGGCAAGGACCCCGAGCTGGCATCTGACAGTTTGTTATTTCGAAAGCTGAGAGTTCCAATACGGGTCAGGAAAGACAACTCCGGAAAAGAAGACAACTGATTGTCTTCAATGTCAAGAGATTGCAAAGAGTCTGCATATGGAAGCAATGAAGTACTTAGCTGGACAGCATTGTTTATGTTGTTTGAATTTAAGGACAAAGCTTGTATTTTACTGGATTGTGGCAACCAAGTTGTGTTGGCAATTTTATTTTCTGTTAAATACAGATTTAGCAGCGACGTCAATTTTGACAACGACTTTGGAACTTCACTTAAGCTATTATTATACAAATTTAAATACGTCATTGTGTTATTCATTAAATCCATAGCATTGTCTGGGATATCTTCCAGAAAACTACTCAATATATCTAGCTCCGTTAAACGTGAGAAGTACCCAAGCCACGTAGGTGATGTTGCCAAGTTTACTCTTTCAAGGTAAAGAGTTTCCAGAGTGGATCCAATATTCTTCATTGCTTCCACGTTCCAGTCTGTCACGGGAACCCCGATGACATGAAGCGTCTGTAGGTTCTGTAGCTGGGAGAATGCATCAGGGATTCTGGTAAAGCGAGCGTTGGAAATTGTCAATCGTCTCAATGTAAGCTTTGATCCTTCGAAAGCTGTGTCATCGATTGTCGTTATTGGGTTGTCAGTCAAAGAGATGTCTGTGAGGTTGGAGGGAAGACTTCCATCTGTTATGGTTGTTATTTGATTTCCCTGCCAACAGTAATAAGAACATATATAACATACCATAACTTGTGTGTTGCAAAAAATAACAACCTCTGACTCTCCCAGGTATTCTGCCTTGCGCATATTTTACTTAATACTAATAAATGATGCCCATAACGATGCACACAAACAATGCACATACATGGTAGGCATAGATAATGCATATAAATGATGCGCATAAATGATGAACCTAAATGAACTATGTAGACAAATTCAAATATTAGTCAACATGGAACGTAACATTTATAATAGCCTTTAACACTTTGCCATTGTTATCTTACAGATGAATAAGACACGAGATGTCCATAAAGTATATCGTATAAGCAGTAACCCATAAAGAGGAGTGGCTGGTCGAAAGGATGAGAACAGAACACAGGGTTCTCATGTCGGAAACAAGGGTTTGAATCCTGTGTAAGTTTTGAGATTTTTGTCGCGGCATTATAAAAAAAAATCATAACCTGCACAGTCAGTGGCAGCAGTACTGGCCATACGGCCTGAAATCCTCAAGCTTAAAGACCCCTAGTCTACACCGCAAGAGTCATAAATTGCAGGCAGTGACAGTAGGATTTTGCAGCAACCAATAAATGCATAATGAAAAGCTCGGTTTTGATTCAGTTAATGAAATTCGCTGTCACCAGACCCTGAAATAGCCAATATCAGAGTGGCTTTGGTAGCAATGTCTATCCGCAACCATTGGTCTCGTGTACTTTCAATCAATCAATCAATCAGGTGCCGCCTCCACAATGAAGGTTGGCTGCAATAGATCTCCAACAAGCCCTGTCTCTTGCCCTTGATGTACACTCACTCATACTGCGTTCGTCCATCTCTTGATGTTATCCTCCCACTTGTAACGCAGTCTGCCTCTTACTCGCCTACCTTGAACCTTTCCCTCTAGGATGATCTTTACAATACTGTTATGTCTTTTAATGTGGCTAAAATATTTCACTTTTCTCTTTTTTATTTCACCTAGCAACTCTCTTTTCATTCCCAATTTCCTCAGTACCTCTGTATTTATTAGCTTTTGTTTCCATGAAATACGACCTAATCTTCTGTATATCCACATCTCCAAAGAATTGATACGATTTTTAAGTTGTTTGTATATTGTCCATGTCTCTGTGCCATACAGTAAGGTTGAGAATACATAACATTTTACAATTCTCATTTTTAATGTATTGCTTATTTCTCTTGATGTGAGTAACTTTTGCATGTTGTTGAAAATGTTTTTGGCCATCCCTATTCTTTTCTTGACATCTGTTTCACTTCTGCCGTCACATGCTATTACTTGTCCAAGATATAAGAAACTTTTAACTTGTCCCAATTTCACCCCGTTCACTGTGATATTCATTGTTAGCTGATTATTTTCTTTGCTAAATTTCATGGTTTTTGTCTTTTTCAAATTAATATCTAATCCAAATTCTGCACTCCTTCTATTTACTTGCTCCACTAGGTCTTGCAACTCCTGCTCACTCTCTGCTAGCAACACTGTGTCGTCAGCATATCTCAGATTGTTTATTATTCTACCATTGATGTGCAGTCCTTGTAATTCTACAATTTCTTTAAAAATGGTTTCTGTACATAAGTTGAAAAGGCTAGGCGACAGCACACATCCTTGTCTTACTCCTCTCTCAATCTCTATCTGGGGTCAGCAGATGTTGTCGTATCTTACTGTTGCTTCTTGCTCCCAGTATAAGTTTCTAATAAGTCTGATATCCTTTTCATCTAGTCCTATGTTTTGAAGAGCTGCAATTAGTTGTTCATGTTGCACTCTGTCGAAAGCTTTTTTTATAATCCTATAAAACTTGCATAAATATCTTTCCTAACTTCTATATATTTTTCAGTCAGCATCTTTAGACAAATTATGGCCTCTCGAGTACCACTGTTTTTACGGAATCCAAATTGCTCTTCAAAAACTTCTTTATCTATTTCATTTTGAATTCTTGCTTGTATTATCTTCAAGAGTAACTTAGTTATGTGACTAATTAGGCTAATAGTTCTGTAATCTTCACAATCAACAGCTTTTGATTTCCTGGGTAGTGTGATAAAAACAGATATTTTCATGTCCCTGGGAATGTACCTATAGTTATAAATGCCATTGCATATTTCTGTGATAGTATCAATTCCAAAAGTAGATAATGATTTTAACATTTCTGCAGTTATGTTGTCTGGACCTGCAGCTTTTCCCTGCTTCATCTGTTTAATGGCTTTCTCTACTTCAGACTTTAATATGTTTGGCCCCTCTTGAGTATTATGGATTGGCGGTTTGTCACCTCTGTTGTCCCAAAACAGGTTTTCTGTGTATTTAGTCCATCTTTTTATTATATTTTTCTTATCAACAATAATTTTTCTATCCTTCCCCCTAGTACAACCATGTCCTGTTAAATGTTGTTCCTTGTTGTAAGTTTTCTTATATTTGCATGTATTTCTTTGGATCTGTGTTTTATTTCAAGATCCTCTATTTGTTTGCATTTTAACTGAATCCATGTTTCCTTAGCAGTTCTACACATATTTTGTATTTCTTTGTCTATTAATGAATATTCTGGAGTGTTTTTTGCTTTCTTCCTTTGTATCATTTTGTTAATAATTTCCTTAGTCATCCAGTGTACTTTCAGTCAGTCTCAACACAGAGGGTCTTTTATACCATGTCAAACTGTCCAGCATTTCTTCTCTCTCTCTCTCTCTCTCTCTCTCTCTCTCTCTCTCTCTCTCTCTCTTTCTCTCTCTTTCTCTCTCTCTCTCTCTCTAACTATCTATCTCTATCTCTCTCTCTTTCTAACCCTTTTCACTTCAAAGTTCCCCCGTGTGAGTTTCAAAGCATTGTTGTGGGTAAAACAAGAATAGACTCACTGCCTCACCAATAAGAATATGGTAAGAGTCGACTAACTGGGAGTTTTCTTCAAAGTCGGAGTGCTTCTGCCTGAGAGGCAAGTAACTAACAGTCTGCAAACAAATAAATCAGATCTGTAAAACGAATAAGTACGCAGCATTCAGATTCTGTAGCAAGTCCAGATCTGCATGATCAACCTGAATTTTTCGCCGGAGTTTACAACCGGTGAGCGTGAAAATGAAGAAGAAAACTTCAAACTTTTCCACCGTATCAATGTACTACAGTTTTCTACTTTTCAAGGCATGTTAGAAAATTGTAGACTGTCTCCTGATGTGCGCAATCTGTCATTTCCTGAGTCAGTTTCTTTAAAGACATATTCATTAATCTGTTATTATGTCCAGTGTGTTTTTGCATTCGAATTGACTAAATAAAACAATATACAGAATACACTGTTGTGAAAGTTAAGTTGCATATTCGACTTAGGAAATTGTGATGCAACCAATATGTTTTTGTTTTAGTTGCAGTCCGTAACACACATTGTAATGTTTTGTAGTTTAGGCAAATTAAAAGTCAAGTTGTGGAGTTTAGACAAAGTGATGCTGTATAGTTTAGACAAAGTCATATTATGTTTGTTTTTTCCCGACAACGTCCTATTATGCAGTTTAGACAACGCCATGGTAAGTACTTCTGAAAATGTCATGTCTTTTACCGCTGCTTTGTGCACACTCGACGCGTATTATCGTTGTTGATAACAAGGCAAGCGGTCTTCTGTTGAATATCCCGCAGCTGACTTTAAACTCCAGTACACAGAAATTACGAAACTGCGTTTATAACTGTAAACGACAGCGTTATAACGGGTCTATATAAGCAAATGCACGTGTACCAGGAGGTGTGTCATTTAAAATAGCTGCCGTGTGTGCCTTACAATCAGCATAGCGACTCATCATCATCATGTAGCAGGTCCTTTGCAGAACGTCGCTCTCATCACAGTCTGCCTGTAAGAAACTCGGTCTCTTGCCAGTTCTCCCGCCTCATGAACTTTCACACTCAAGGAGTCACTTATATACTGTGCCCATCTTCGTGTCGGTCGGCCCCTGCCCCTCCTTCCTGGTACCATGCCTTCTGCTATAATTTTTTTCCAATCCGTCATGGCGCTTGATATGACCAAAATATTTCAGCTTTCGAGAAAGGATGCTGTTTATTAGCCAATCTTCCTTAATGTTCATATCTTTTAAAATGTCAATATTTCTCATCTTCTTTGTCCAAGATATTCTGAGAATCTTTCGATAGCATTTCAGCTCAAAAGCCCCTATTCTCTTTCTTAAGGACTGAGAGATAGTCCACGACTCACATCCCTATGTAGCCACAGGAAAGATGCATAGCGACTAAAAATATTAAAAACAGACTTAACTAAAGGATCTGTTGACTGAATGGTTAGAACATAAAATTGTTGTACTGGACACACGAGTGTGAACACTAGGAAAGATACTAGCGAAATTTCTGTCAGAGACAAAATAGTAATCGTAGCATTCATGGTTCTTGCTGACTGCACTAGCCACTGGACTCAAAATCCTCATGCTTAGGACTCCTTCCCACCTCCACTTTTTTCCCCTACACCTACCAAACACTGGTAAATGCAAGCTTCGTGTGTGTTTTTTTCTTTTTGTCTGAAATTGATAAATGGTTTGTAAAAGGTCTTCAGTCTTACATCAAGGGCTAGAGATGTAAATCCAGTGACTGTCTTGTTTAACTCCGGCAAAGCTTTTAGTCCCCGGGACATGCACAGAACAGCAGGCGAGATACATTGGCATTCCTGTAGAGAATAATCAAAGGCTAAGTCAATGATCGAAACAGTGGATCAAAAAATTGTTTAAACATTCAGTGCATACGCAACCAGACACACAGTCTATAAGTTTAATCAACGCATATATTCAGTGGCGTGTCAATGAAATTCAACAATCAACCGCATTTGTGTTCCAGTCTCTTTTTCGGGGAGGTTGTGGTGAAGTGGGCTGCAGGGATTTGACCTACTGACCTTTCTTTTTCCCAGAAATAAAAGCATTCTGCAAAAAGTTTACTAATTATGGGTGCGGCGTGTAAAGTTGCACTGTAGGAGAGGCGAAAACCCATCAGTGTGCGTACATAAATGTAGATCTGTAAAACGGATGCACATGCTAAACTAAGGTTCTGAAACAAGACAACAGTCCAGACAAGTTTACATACAGTCAGCTCTAGGAAGATGAATTAAGTGATCTAATTCTGAATGTCAAATTAAAAATCG